AAAGAAAAAATAAAATTTGATTCCAGAGTTGACCTTGGAGTCGAAGTCCGCCAAAAAGACGACTCTGGAGTTAGAGTCTGAGCAGAAATTGCTCGACTCAGTACATTTTCACTACTTCGTCGGCGGAAAGCCCAAAGTAGTAAAATTTACCGATGAGGATATTAGTAAAACCATTATAAGGTGGACCCACATCCAATTTTTTTGTCCAAAACTATTTCAAAGTCTCCATACGTAAGACCAAGAAACCATCAGTGACCTCAATGTCAAATTTCAAAATGTCAACTCTATCCCTACACCAATATCAAATTTAGTAACATTTTTATTCAAAATAATCTACAACTCCCCAACATACACATCAACAGAGATCCAAATTCAGTACTTTTCGAACAATTATAGTACACATTTCTAAAATAACCTCAATATCTCAATTTCACATACAAACAGAGACCTCAATATCAAATTTCGAAATATGGTATTGAGGAATTTATTAAAATTTATCACTTTTCGTACAATTATAGTACGCATTTCCAAAACCACCTTCAAATTGCAATGTCATATGCCAACAGATACCTCAATAACAATCTTGTTTCGTACAATTATACTACATATTTGCGAAACAACCTCCATATGTCCAGACTACACATAAACAGCGACCCTAATATTAAATTTCAGATTTCAAACAAATACAAATATAGTACTTTTCGAACACTTGATGTAAAAATTTCCAAAACCGCTTTTTTATCACAGACTTATTACCAACAGGGACTTTAATACCAACATTTCAAATTACCAGCTTCTTTCGTTCATCCAAACCGGAATTGTAGAAAATTTACTACCATTTAGTACAGTTCCTACAATTAGTACACATTTCATATATCAACTTACTTTCCAACATTGAAGGCTAGTCATTTTACCAAATTTCAGAATTGTAGCTCATTACGTTTTTCCAGTACTACGTATTATTACATTATAGTACTTTTCGTACCATTTTAGTACGAATTTCTGAAAATCAAGCCTTATAATTATTACCAAAATTTCAAGATTTTAGCTTTAGTCGTTTCGTCTGGGTGTTGATTGGGAACGGATTGGAACCCTCATATAGATAAAACCAATAAAAAAGACAACCTTCCGACAGACAATGTGATACTCTACACCACTATAATTTGCTGTATAGTCATATACAGAGACTTTACAGCAAATTATAGTGGTGTAGAGTATCACATTGTCTAATGGAAGATCAAAACTTTATTTGAATATGTTGACTTTCAATTATATAGCATTGTTATCGGTCATTAATACATTCCAGGTGCTGGATTATTGTTCTATGAAAAGTATATTTTAACTTTGTCATTCCGTTTGTAACATCCTTAAATATTCGTCGTAGACCCAATAAAGTATATATATTAATAATCAGCATAAAATTCTAAGTCGATTTAACGATGTCCGTCTGTCTGTTGAAATCACGATACAGTCCACATTATTTGACGTAGAGCGCCAAAATTTCGCTGAACGAATTATATTGTGTCTAGGATGGTTGGTGTTGAAAATGAGACATATCGGTCCAGGTTTGGTATAGTCCCCATGAAACGGTACCTCTCGATGTTCGGCATTTTGATGATTTTTGTCACATTTCTTCAAGGATTTGTCTGAAAATTGGTATTTGTAGGTCATAATGGGTCCTAGTTCGTGTGGCGAGACATTGCATGTATAGCTCCACGCTTTGGAATAGTCCCCATATAAATCTACCTCCCGATATTCGGTATTTTGATTATTTTTGCCACATTTCCCCATGAATATGTCTAAAAATTGGTATTTGTGGGTCATAATGGGCTCTTTTCCTTTACCCTAAGGTGGAGGATATTAAAAGTTTGGTCCGGCCGAACTTAATGTTTTTTTACTTGGTTTTCAATCATTATTTCATAGCTGAAAATTTTGGGCACAAGAGTTCACTTTTATGTAATCGCGATATCTTTTGTAAACGACCTTAAGCATTAGAAATATTAACAAAAAGTGATGGTCCACTTCACCAGCTAAGTATTGTCCGTTCAATATCCAAATTGTTAGGCTTTTTTACTTTTATATCCGTCACTTACATAGTATGGACCGCATATTAAGTTTGTCATTATGTTTGTAACTCATCGAAATAATAATTTTATACCCCACAAAGTATATATATTCTTGATCAGCGTAAAATTCTAAGTCGGTTTAGCAATATCCGTTTAGTCCGTTCGTCTGTTGTTATCAGGCTAGGATCCAAACAGCATGTGAATTTTGCATAGAGTTGCCTTTTGTGTGCAGTCAGGTCAAACTCGAAGAAAAGCCATATCGATTAACGTTTTCGTACAGCCCCACATAATTGTATCTCCTCATTTTCGGTATTTTAATGATTTTAGACTCAGTTTCCAGCGGAATAGCTTAATATCCTCAATTTGGAATTCATAATAGGTTTTACCTACTGTTGCAAAATATTTTTTATACAGATCTACGATTTCCTATAATCCTTATATAGCCGTCACATTTTGACGCGTTTAGGCAGAATTTCTAACGTAGTCGTTTAAAGTTTGGTATGTTTAGTCCACTATGCCTATAAGTTCAGAGATGCAAAATCCGTTTAATCTGTAACCTTGACTGACTACTTTTCGAAAAACAGATTGCAGGAAAATACAGATTGTCAGAAAATGTATGACTTAAATTTTATAAAGAAACCAGCAAGGAAAGGTCAAAAGTCGGTCGGGGCCTACTATATGATACCTTACACCACAATGCGTATTTATTTATATTGGAGATTTATGTGAAGTAGATCATACCAACTATGAACCTTATTTGAATTCGTACCATGGCTTTGGAGTAGTCACAATTTGGGAACTATATCCAACTATGAATCGATTTTCAACAAATTTAACAGAGAGATGTATATTGAAGCTATATAAAAATCCGAACCGATCTCGATAAAATTTGGCAGATGTATTTTGGAGCTTCCGGTATCAAATAGCATTGTAATGGAGTGCATATTACGCCAAATCGGATGAACCGATTTTCACTAAAATTTCAAGTAACCGATCCGATCTCGAAAAAAATTGAAAGAGACATTTCTGGTCTGTGTCCGATATCTGGTACCAAATATCATTGGTGTCGAAAGCATATTACGAAACATTCATATGGGAGCTATTGCTATATCTGAACTGATTTTCTGCAAATTTGATTCACTTGCTTCTAGACTGAATTCGTACGGATGTACAACAATGCAGGACTTTTTGACTTTTTGGTCATTTGGGGCACAATTAATACGAAATCTGTTAGAGATATTTATGGGAGCTATACCCAAATCTGAACCGATCTTGATAAAATTTGGCATAGGCATTTTCGAGAAGTACCTGGTGTCCCGTACCTAATGCTCTTCTTTCTTTTGTTGTGCAAAATTCACGTTATTTGGACTGATATTAGCCATTTTGTGTACAATTAACCCGAAGTCAGTTGAAGATATATAAGGGAGCTATATCTAAATTTGAACCGATTCTCACCAATTGCGATAGGGTTCGTTCGTGGGCCAAACAAATATTGTTTGGAAAATTTCATCTCAGTCGGATCAAAAACGCGTTTTGTTCACAAAAATACATGGCATGCATAAATCGACTCAGAAAGTGATTCTATGAAGATCCTCAAAAATAACTATGGGTCTATCTCACTTCCTTCTCTATGTCACAAATGCAATACAAATGCATAAAGATGTAATACTCTTATCACTATGTGTGTAGCGTAGAAATACAGATTTTGAGCAAAAATCGGATTTAAACCCTTACTTGCATAGAACCACTTGATGTGTCATTTGAATTTAAATTTCCTTCTATTCAATACGTTTACAATCAATTCCCAACAATAAATATGTTCTCCGATAAAATTGAGTTTGCTTTTCATATGTCTTTGGATCACTTGTTACAAATACAAAATTAAGCAATAACAAACCTTGGTCACCTTATAACTCTGATATTATTCCCACTGCCACTTAACTCCTCAAATATACAACGCCTCATCATATATTCGTGATTGATATTTGAAAAAACTTCTGTTTCTCGACTTCAAATAAACGATAAAAGTTCAACGACAAAATGAAATAAAAAAATTCACAGTATCATAACAATTCCTTCTGGACCAATGGCTTTTGAAATGACTTTTTAGAAATAATAAATTAAATTAAGCAAAAAACAATAAATTAATAAATTTTGGTATATAACAACAGACTTCGTTTGTCAATGTGCGCACTCGAAACAGAATAAATCCAATTTAGTTGGATTTAGTTGACAGAGAAAATATATTAATAAATTACAAATGGGCTATGGGCTTTTGGTGTTGGCATCAATACAATATTCAGTTATATTGGCCTGGCCCCATGGTAATCGCTGACGACCATAGCTGCAACAACGGGAATGATCGCTCACTGGACATTTGAAACAGAGTCTGAGTCAAAAATTTGCGTAGACGTAAAATAATCATTTATTCATAAAGAAATTTATAAAATCCATCGATCCATCCAATCCTCGGCGATAACTAAAACTATTCATATATTCATTTGAGAATTTCTCATATATATGGCGGGGAGGGTGGGCAGATCGGCAGGCGGTCTATAAAATAATAGCTGTAGTAGGAACTGACTGATGTGGTCCAATATGTGCATATATAATGGGCGATTGAGTTGCGATATGACGGTAGTATTTGCAGATTGTTGTCTAGCGATTGGTCATATAAGAGGTGTGATTTGCTTCGATGGCTGATTGATTTTTGTTGTTTTGTTTGGCGGTCATTGTACTGGACTCATTTGGTGTCCCAGGCCAACTGTTATTTTTTTTTTGGAATTACACAATGGTCTTTTGGGTAAAATTTGTTATGGGAATTTTGTCATCATCCATTTTTTATTCCTCCGATATTCTGTGATTTTGTAATGCCTTATTTTCTTGTTTTCAATTTTCATTTCAGACTTTATGGAAATTCCATAGCATCTCGAAAAAAACATCAAAATATTTTAACGTTTAAATTTCCACCATGTGTTCGATCTTCCACAATCGTATTAATTATCGTGGTGGTGGAACGGCGAACAACACGAATAGTTCCCCCGGGAGTCCGCCAACCCTTACCAAAGATTTAGATCCGGATAGCAATAACAATGACAATGATAGCAATATAATGTCGGGCAAAAGTGAAACCCCAACAGATGAACGTGAAGATGAGCCCAAGAGTCCTCGTAGCCCCTTGGAGGGGAATCAAAATTCTAAGGGGAATAATGAAGAAATGGCTGAAGAGCAGGAGGATGAAGAGGAGACTAGCAATGGTGTCTCCAATCATCCAAGTAAAGAAGAAGCTTTAGATTTGTCGGTATTGCCAAATGGTCTGGCCTCAAAGGGCCATGTGGCATTGGAAGCTTTGCAACATACCAAAGTAGCTGTGGCTCAATTTGCTGCCTCCGCCCTGGCCAATTCTCAATATTTTGGTGATAATCCTACTCCCGATCTGGCAGCTATATTACAGCGGCAACATTTAATGCAATTACAGTTTATACAACATTTACAAAGTCAATTGAAACGACGTGATAGGCAAGGTGAGGAGGATGAAGAAGATCTGGACGAGGAAGAAGGTGAGGTGGAACAGGAGGAGGAATCGTATCAAGAGGTGGTAAGGAGACATAAGGACAATGCCAGCAGAGAGAAGGATAATGAAAATTCCTGCCCAGAAAATGTGCAAATAGATTTGACTCAGAGCAGCAGGACAGGAAGAAATTCCGCAGAAGAAATCGAACGGAGCCATTCACCAAAAACTATCAAGGACACAGAAAGCAGCAAGACTGATCATGAATTTTCGAAAAATTCCAAGGATAAAGATAAAGTGCAATCACCCCATTATCAGCCCTTGTTGAGCGGCATTAGCTCATCATTGGCCTCGACCATCATTACCGACCATGATCCCATACCCCCGCCCAGTGAAACGAATTGCCTGGAAATGCTACAGCGCAGAACCGAAGAGGTCCTCGATTCGGCTTCCCAGAGTCTACATGCCTCCCAAATGCAAGACGAATATGAGTACATGCAAAAGGATGGTCAGGGAAGGGGAGAGATATTCAAACATCGTTGTAAATATTGTGGTAAGATTTTCGGCTCCTTTTCGGCCCTTCAGATACATTTGAGGTCACACACAGGGGAACGGCCATTTGTGTGTAATGTGTGTGGCAGTAAATTCACCACAAAAGGAAATCTGAAGGTCCATTATCAAAGACACACCCAAATATACCCGCCCATTTTAATACCACCCGGTGTGGGACCACCTCTGGATATGCCACCCACAATCAATGCTCAACCACCAGCGCCTCACTCCCATCCCCATTCCCATCATCCGCCGCCCCCTCCTCCTCCACCACCACCACCTCCATCTGGTCTCTTGGGCATGCCAATTCGTTTGCCCCTGCCCTTTGAGAAATCTCAGGTGAAGGAAACGAACGAAAACGAAGGAAGAAGGAAAACTCCTGAAGAAACCAAAGAAATCGCTGTGGAAGACGAAGAAGAAGAACCGAAAGAATCTCCCAGAGACTTAACATCGGCAAGTTGCAAATCAAACAATGAGCACCCCGAAGATCTTAGCAAACCACCCAGCCGGATGAAGAGCCAAAACCCAAACCTTTGGTAAGGGTGAAAACCCCACAAGCTTTAATGGAACCTACAGGCATAGAACAACAGCAGCAGCAGCAGCAGGAGTCGCAGAAAATCAACGACAAAACTGAACGACCTCTGGCATCAGTAACCCCAAAACGGAATAGCTCACATAGGAAACGCAATTCGAACAGCTCAACACCTCCCCAAGAATTTAGAAAAAGTTTTCCTGGCAATGGCATAGGAGATAGCGCCGCCGTCGACGACCATGCTCTATCCAAACATTTTCGGCGGTCTTCTTCCCTGAGTCGTAACAGCAGCCTGGAACACCTAACCGGCGATTTTTGTCAAGTGGAAACATATGTCGACAAATCATGGGAGGATCTAATCGAAATCGATACCACTTCGGAAACCTCAAAGCTCCAGCAATTGGTCGACAACATTGAAAATAAACTCACAGATCCCAATCAATGTATATTCTGCCAAAAGGTCATGTCCTGTCGTAGCTCCCTGCAAATGCATATTCGAACACATACGGGTGAGCGACCCTTTCGCTGTAAGATATGTGGTCGAGCCTTTGCCACGAAGGGCAATCTTAAGGCTCACATGAGTATTCACAAAATAAAACCTCCAATGCGTTCGCAGTTCAAGTGTCCAGTGTGTCATCAGAAATTCTCCAATGGCATAATACTACAACAACATATACGAATCCATACCATAGATGATGGGTCGGGTGGAGGTCCACAAATTGCTGGCGCCTCCAGTGAAATGGCTGCCGCAATTGCGGAACACAATCAACGTATACGTGCCCACATGGAGGCGGCCATATTGGAAGATCAAAATTCCAACAAATCTTTGGGCAATTCGGAGACATTTGATTTCTCCACAACATCTGAATATTCTGGTCAACGTTCGGAATCGTCGCAGGGTGATTTCGATGAATACATGACCATGGAGAGTACCGATGATTCAAGAGAAAACACCTCATCGCTAACGCCGTTGGATAAACGTCAATTTGAAGATGCCGATGAAAAGGGTGAGAGTGTTGGGGGTGGTGGCCCAGATACCATGGAATCTGGTCTATCTCAAGCCATGGATTTGACAGCACGTAACGGCACCTCTCAGCACACGCAAAGAGCTCTGGATCATCTGCCACATTTGATGGGTATGCCGCCGAATATTTGGCTGATGGCTGCCGCACGCGAAGAAATACAAAATCTCGGAAATCAGGGAAAATTTCCATTGTTACCATTTGGACCATTAGGATTTATGGGTGAGTAGATTTTTTTTGAATATTATGATATTTATAACATTTAGGACCCGGAATAAAATTCAACACATTTCGTCTCATAAAATTAAGTGGAACAATATTATATTTAAACTAGTTCTAATGGAAAATCTATTGGAATGCTTGGCTTACAAATCTTCACTTCAATACGTTTGGGCTTAGTAAATATATTTATACCCTACACCACATGGTGGTAAGGGTATTATGTCTTTGTGAATTTGTGTGAAACATGGAGAAGGAAGGGAGATAGACCCAAAGTAACTTTTGAGGATCTTCATGGAATTACTTTCTGAGTCGATTATGCATGTCAGTCCATCTGTCCGTCCGTACATGTATTTTTGTGAAGAAAATGCAAATGTGCCAATATCAGCCCAAATGGACTGAATTTTAACACTTCCGACCGAATTCAGTGTTGAAGCAAGTAAATCAAATTTGGAGGAAATTGGTTCTGATATAGGTAGAGGTCTCACATATATATTTCATCCGAATTGGGTTTTAATTCCCTCACATGAGTAATATACAGTGTGGGATTAAAAAACTGCAACCAACTTCAGACTGCTGTCATTTCTAAGCCACTAGTCCGACAGCTGTTACAATTATTTCAGTGACAGCTTATTATATTGTTTACAAGCGTACAAAAGCATTTCGGTGAGAATTTTCCAGAAAAAAAGTTATTCGTGATGGAATTCAAGCGTGATTCAGGTGTGATTTCTTTAGATTTGGCTGGAAACCCACAAGTGGTTATCGTTAGAGCACTCCAGCATTTCAATGTGAATAAATCTCTTGTGTCTCGTACCATCGCTCGTTACCATGATGCTGGTAGCGTAACCCGTTGTCAAGGAAATGGACGGAAGAAAAGAGCAACATCAGCAGAAATGGTTCGAAATGTAAAGAAGCGACTTGATGGAAACCGGCGTCGCAGTGACCGAAAAATGGCTCGTGAGCTGAACATATCGCAATATTCCATTCGGAAAATATTGAAAAATGAGCTCGGGGTAAAGCCATTGAAATTTCAGAAAGTGCAAGAACTTACACCGCAACAGAAAGAAAATAGACTCAAAACAGATAAAGAAGAGCTTGGGCGAAAGTGGTGAACTGCCGAATTTGGTATTCTCCGATGAGAAAACATTCGTTGTCCAGCAGTTTGTAAACAAACAAAATGATCGTGTTTACTTGCCAAAGAGGTCAGCTGAAAAAGTGCACCTATGGTTGGCCACCAGAACTCAAGCGTAGGCCATGGTGATGATGTGGGTCGTCATAACATCCGAAAGCTGTGGCATCAGAATAAATGCCGAATATTATCGCGAAAATATTCCGGAGGGTGCATTTTCCTCACGAGAATTTTCACAAGAGGGTTAGGCTCAGAAAGGCTAGACCTGTTGTTTTCAAAGATGTCCGCAATACATTTAGGGGTTGAAATGGACCAACAACTACAAATGTTCCTGATTTTGCAGCCGTTATAAAGGTCACAAATAGAAACCAAAGGACTGGAAATTTCGCATGAAGTTGGAGTTTAGGACGGCGGTCTGAATGGACCACTGCTTTTGTGTGAAAAATTTTAACATTTCCATTCTACCGAAACGCTAAAAATAACTTACAGGCGGAATCCAAAATACACAACAGGCAAACTTCTGGTTATTTTTTTTTTTTTTTTTTTTTTTTGACGAATATAGCCAAATATCACAGACAAGCAAATCATATAGATGAGACTAAATTTGGCGATACAGAGGGGCCTCTTGCATTTGGAAAAAAATTCCTGATCACACCATTGAAGCCAATCGACACGGCTGAGAAGAGAGTTAAGCACAGGGAAAAATTCTAGCATTTTGTATGACCATTAGATTATATTTACCTGTAAAATGGACCACAATAACTAACATCATGACGGAGTGCGTAAATATTGGGCAAATGTTCCTGGTCAAAATGCTAAGGGTAATATCTGGGCAGTGCTCCGTGACATTTCAAAAGCGAAATCTTCCAAAATGGATTTGGACATAAGAGGGCGTCTAGCATATTATAGTGTTGTAGGGTAACACATTGGTCGGCCCCGCACAACTATAGCCTTTGCTTACTTGTTGATATTAATGTCTTGGATTATTGCGATCTCAATGTCCGTTAGGAAGCCGGTCTCGTGTTGGCATTAAGTTCAGACACTCTGCAATCGCCCGGACCTCCGCTTGAAATACCATACTATGATCGGGCAAGCAAAAAGCGATTACAGTATTTATTTCTTCAATAAAAAGTGCAAATAAAAGTTTCCAGTTTTTGCCTTCAAAAGTTTGCACAAATAACTCAAACTGAATATGAGTCTTCTGAGGGCAGAAAATCACAGATATATCATATAATTTAGAATTATGTATAATAGTATCTTGCAATATTTCAAAGCATTTATTCAATAAATTCCGATTCCATAATATTTGTCTACGCAATATTTTTTGGCCTGCAACATCGTCACATCACCATCGAATAACACAATTCGCTAACAATGCTAGCAAATAATTCCATAGGCTATTGTTACCAAAACAAAAAGAACAACAAAGACATATCAATGGGAGGATGATGATGAAACTACCGAAAAAAAAAACGCGCAGAAGGAAATTGGTATTCCGGCATAAATTTCCATCACTGTCAAAAGATGTTATTTAAAGCGTAATTTCAGTACTTAAATCATGGCATTGCCTGCCTCAATGTGTGTAACAAGGCGCAAATAGTGGCGCATAAGAGACATCAGTTTGCCATGTGACGACGACGATGACACACTCACGCACATCATACATACGAGTACATATGTATGTACATGGCAAGCAAGTGAGTGAGTGGCACACTCCTCCATTCTTGTTGGCGTTCAAGAAATGATATAGCCGTTTTGTCTGTCACCTTTGACCGGCAGAAACAAAAAGACAACGACAACAGCAAATATATCACACCAAAGAGGAATTTATAAATAAAAATCGCTTAAAACGAACGACATAATTCAATTGGACCCAAACAACAAAGAGTGTTTTTCAAATAGGACATTTTCCGATGATGATTCAATACGAGAACTGAAATGTTGTAGTTGTTTCTTTTTGTTTTGATCGTACACTACAATATAACATATAAAAATATTTCATGGGGTACCACAAATTTACAAGTCGAATAGGAAGCAGGTCAAACCGCACTTTTTTTACGCTCCACAAGGAGACATATAGACAGTGAGCAAAAGGTATAGTCGGGCCGGGCCGATCGTGTGATAGCCTACTACAACACCATAATATATTTGACAACCCCCTTAGATCCAAACCATTTTTATCGATTTTTATACTCTCCACCATACGTAGTATGGAGGGTATATTAAGTTCGTCATTCTGTTTGTAATTCATCAAAATAATATTTTTAGACCCAACAAAGTATATATATTCTTGATCAGCGTAAAATTCTAGGACGATTTAGGTCTGTCCGTTTGTCCATCTGTTGTAAGCACGCTGCAGTCAAAACGAATAGGAAGCTAAAATTTTGCACAGATCTTTTTTGTCTGCAGGCAGGTCAAGTTTAAAGATGGGCTATATTGGTCCACGATATCGTATAGCCCCCATATAACGGTACCCCCGATACTCGGTATTTTGATGATTTTAGTCACATTTTTTAAAGGAATTGTCTGAAAATCCACACAAGGAGTTCCTTGAGAGTACTTTACCCCCTGAAAGAGAATTATCTATATAGGTCCACGATACTGTATAGCCCCCATATAACGGTACCCCCCGATATTCGGTATTTTGATGATTTTAGCCATATTTTCCAATGATATTGTCTGAAATTCTATACAAGGAGTTCTTCGTTAGTGCTTTACCCCCAGACATAGATTTGACAATATCGTATATCCCCCATATGTCGGCACCTTCCAATATTAGGTATTTTAAAGATTTTAACAGAATTCTTAATGGATTTTATTTTTTTTGAAAAATTTTCTAATTCGTTCCAAATGGTGGAGTATTTAAAGTTTGGACCGACCGAACTTACTGTTTTTTTACTTTTTTTTTTAATTAGCGCTATATTTACGCAATTCACACAAAAGTTGTGGTCATCCAAACTGCTAGGCTTCTGCCCTTTCGTGTGGATAGGTTTACAATTGTGACCTGCATCCATTTCAACTATCATTTTCAACTAATATTTGGCGAGCGTCTTAGACGGACACATATAGCTAGATTGACGTAGTTGGCGAGACCCATACATAACATTATTGGCCTAGGGCCTTAAAATCCTTAAAAAATTTTGTTTAAATTTTAAAAATACCGAATATAGCCGTTTTATTGGGGTCTATACGACGTGGACCTACAAAGGGATTGTTTGTCATAAGGTATTACCATATTCAAATTCGATAACTTGAAATATATCGTGAATAATGTAGCTAAAATCATCAAATTTTCGTATATCGGAGCTGTGTGAAGATCTGGACCAGCCAGACAATTTTCTGTCAGAGGCTGTAGCATCCATTACGAAGTTTTAATACCATATCTCAAACAATATCGGTGGGTATTGTACCTAAACTCGTGAAAATACCGAATGTAGGGAGGTACTGATTTATGGGGCCTATACGAAGACGTGGATCTGCACAGACAATTTTCTGTCATAGGTTGTAGTATCCATTACGAACTTCAAATACCAAATTTGAAACAATTCCGGTGAATAATGTCGCTAAAATCATCAAAATAGCGAATATAGGGAGGTACAGTATTATGGGGGTTATACGAAGGCGTGAACCTGCACAGACAATTTTCTGTCATAGGCTGTAGTATCCATTACGAACTTCAAATACCAAATTTGAAACAATTCCGGTGAATAATGTCGCTAAAATCATCAAAATACCGAATATCGGGAGGTAACGTTATATGGGGGCTATACGAAAACGTGGACCTGCACAGTAATTTATCGGTCTTAAGCTATGCAGGTCCACGTCTTCGTATAGACACCAATATACCTTCTATATTTGGTATTTTTAAGATTTTAACACAAAACAACTAAACGGTTTTTACTTTTTTGAAAATTTTTAAATTCGTTCCGAATGGTGGAGAACATTTAAAGTTCGGCCCGGCCGAACTTATTGCTCTTTTACGCTCCTATACTGCCGATATTTGGCATTTCATTGATTGTAGCCAACATTTTTTTAGAAACACTGGACTTTCGGCATTTACATACATAGTTATACATGAGTTACTTTTAAAATTGTGGATGGTATAAACAATTCGGCCCGGTTGATTTAAAATGTTTTTTTTATTTGTTTGGCATTCGGAGTTTTTAATTGACAATAATACGCAATATCGGTATTTTGGTTATTGTAGTGTGATTTCTCATGGAATTGTCTGTAATTTGGCAATTTGAAGTTCGCAATGAGTCTGTAATGAATTTTAAATTGCACCTTAAATTTTGAAATGAAAAATATATACCGGTACTTCCCTACATTTGATAGTTTTCGTCATACTTTTTGTGGCATTCTCAGAAAAGAAGAATCTTTTGTTAATTATAATATATTTCAAAAACGTTCCATTCCAAATGAATAGCTTTCTGCTCCTCAGAAACTATACAAAATGTTAAAATAATAAGTGTCCCTAATGGTGTAGGATATCAAAAGTTCGGCCCTACAAAACTTAATCCTTTTTTTTTTCACTTTTATGATTTGTGTCATGCGTTTCGCTAAAATTGCTTCAAATTTGGCAAGTGGAGTTCGTAATATGTATTAATTTCTACAACAGGAAATTATCATATTAATATTTGATATTTTGATGATTTATGCCACAGTTTTTCACGGAAATACTTCAAATTTGGTATTTGGAGTTCCCATAACAAAAGAATTACCTATGAAGGTCCGCATCGTATATCTCCCATACAATGGTAACTTCCGATACTCGCAATTTTTCTGATTGTAGCCTTTTCTGATTTTTCAACGGTTTTTCCCTAGCCCCCACATAACTGTACCACGCGATGTTCCTTTTTTCCAGAATGTTAGAGGCATTTTTTTACAGATTTAAAATTTTGCAATTTTCTTCCAAATGACATTTGTTGTTTAAAGTGGAACACGTTTCAATTCAGATAGTTTTATATAAGAAAACATTCTTTACCCAAAATTGAAGGGTATTAAAAGTTCGGCCCGGCTGAACTTGTTGTTTTTTACTTTTTATACCCTCAGTAATATGGTAACAGAGGGTACATATCATTTGATGCGCCCAAAACATGCCGAAATAACGGTTTTAGCCCCTAGGTCTAGGTTTTGAATATTTTTTTATTTTTATTATTATTATCTGATTGTCTTCAAATTACACATATCACAATATTTTTATTAACCCAAGGTCTGGTGGAAAGATGGAATATATCAGTTCACTCCATCAAGAACCTCTTCCACAAAGGGTTTAAGTACTTATATCTTTCATAACTTGCGAAACAAATCAGCGATTCAAACTTGGTATATCTAAATATTTTTGTCAACCATACATCTAATGTGAATATGGAATTTATCGCTCATTCCTTCTCTTACCTCCCCACAAAAATATTGGGATATGTGAAACTTATAGAGATGCTTATTTCGCATTTTATGAAACATATAATTATTCAAAATTTTTACCCGTTGTGGGGGAGGTACCAGAAGCAGAAGTCCGACATAATCCATCTTCACGCCTGTTGATAAAAATATTGGGATGTATTATATTTGAAGATAATCGGTTTGTTATTTCGCATTTTATAAGAGTTATAATTTTTTAAAATACTGATCCTTGAGCTTTGCATAGCACTAATATTTGCAAAGCTTGAACAAAATTATTTGTTTCTAGGAAGATGTTAATCTTTTTTGGGGGAGTTATCAGAAGGGGTGGACAGATATTTCCCATCTCCAAGTTCGATCTAAGTATTGCAATAATGTTACGATGTACCAAGTTTGGATCAAATCGGATACTCCCTTCGAGAGTTATCGTGCGCACCAGCTAGCCAGACAGACAGACGAACGGACACGTCTAGAGCGACACCAAATGTCCTGGAACGGATTTGGTCCAAAGAGACCTAGGGTCTAAAACCGTTATTTCGTTGAGGCATGTTTTGTATCAAATGATATATACCCTCTGTAGCCATATGGGGTATAATTTATTATTGAAAAAAAAAAAAAATACACATACCTACATAACTAAAGTTGACATATTAAGCCGTGCAAATAAAACAAAATTAAATCGGTTGGTAGCTTTGCCCTAACTTGATTTCACTGTACCATGTTCCAAATTTGGCCGTGGCACATAATATATATCCATCGGAAACCCGACTGATGCTTTATACTTTGAATTTACGGTTATGGTTCATTTCACCTACAAAATATTATCCGATAACTATTCAAAATGACGGTCCAAAATTCTGACCTCCATGCAAATTTGTGTATCAATGACTTATAAATATATGTGTTCAATTGTTTTTCCGTAGGTTTCAATAAAAATGTAAAATTATTGGCGATCATCGCCTCTTATGTATTTACTATTAAACAGAACTCGTATTTTATTTATTCTTTTCTTCAACTCATTTAATTTGAAGGAGTGTGCTCTCGACACTTTTCACTTGTTTTTCTTTAGATCAACTTAAAAACGAATAAAAATAAATATATTTTAATTTTAAACATGGCAATATTTTCATTTTATGTCAGCGCCGTTCAGCAAAATTAAACAGCCAACAAAGGAAACAATTCGCACCAAAAAGAAAATCTCATACAAAGTTAGGCGTGCTTACATTTTGTGCGTGTGACTTGATTTCTTGTCAATCTGCCATTGCATCCATCGCACACAAAAAAACCTATCTCGGAAAAGAAAATTTATATCCAATTGACATACGTTGCGATTTTATGGGACATTTAGTAATTAAACGGTGTTCGGTGTTGACAAAAATTAATGTTCAATTCTACAAAATGTGATTTTTTTGGCGTGAGCTTTAATTTATTTTTCGCATATCTTCACTTTACTTGTATTGCAGGTTTGCCACCACAAGCTCATATTTGCCAATTGTGCTTTAAATTGTTTCCGAATCCAACGGCTTTGGAAACGCATTTTCAAACGGAACATACCAAAGAGGCTGCAAACCGAAGTACTCCACATTCTTCGGGTAGCGGTGGAGGTGGTGCCAGCAGTTGTAATGTGGCATCGATTGAGACGGATACTTCAAATGTTGCCGATAACGGTCAAGTGGTTACGGTGGAGGACAAGAATGTCAATGCGGCTGCCATCAGCAATAAAGACAACAGCTGTGATGGATCTGATGCAGCGGAAGCGCCTTTATATGACAACAAGGTAAGTAGATATTTAATTGCAATGATTAAAAATGTAAAAAAACGGCAATGGTTATTTATAGAGTCAATTTCTTCTTTATATATACTCGTTTTTTCCTCCATATTATTAATCGGCGTAAGCTTGTTACCCAGTCTACCCGTCATAACCGACATTTCTATGTTTTGCCCACTAAACCATAATCCTAGAATTTTCCATGTTAAATTCCTTATGATTACACACATTTAAATTCCTCTTTACGAGTATCTCACACACCAGACCATTTCATGTTATTCGCCCCACAAACACACATTCTTCCGGTTAAGTGGAAGTGCCATAGTCAAGAGTTACATACTTATACCAAATTTATCATCTGCCACAGCTCTAATGATGTTTTCAGTTTTCTGTGTTGTTCTTTTTTTTTTTTTTTGCTGCTGCTGCTCCCCACCACATGTAATCCCACCAAATTTGGTATATCCACTCCATTTGTGGTCATGTGTAATTAATAATCTCATCATAATTTGTTACTCTAACAACCATATTTGTTGCCATAAATACACATTGGCCACAGAATGGCATATTTTGCGATTACATCTTCTTCTTCTACATCGACATCGCCATCGTCGTTGTAGTGGTCGCTAGACTATGGCTGTTATTTCTTTGGCTTGCGCTTAACATCATTTCTCATTTATTTGAGTTTTACTTGTGTTTTTTTGTGCCATATATGGTGTGAGACCATCCTGTCGTGATCTATTAGTTGTTACTTGATTCATTGGCCAAAACAATAAACGGGAAAATGCTTTCTATTCTGTGAGAAATTTATACAATTATTTTTAAAAAAAATTGATGGATTTCGATTTCTTTCCTTGGCATAGATTTCTTCAATTTCACATTTAAAAGAATAATAAAAAACAATTTAAAAAGTATCAGTAGTATACTCTCAGCCAATGTTCGATTATTTGAATATATTTTGACTTCTGTTATTATTAATTTGAAGGAATGGGCCAATAATGTCCATTACATATTGGATATTTCGAATATATTGGTAACTTGGAAGGGGTTCTCAGCTATATATCATTTTCACAACAGATCTTGTGTTAGCAAAATATTGTATATGTGATTTTTGTGTAATTTTAGGAGACTTGAATGCTTATCTTGTGTTAGTAGAAATAATGGAATGTGTGAAATATTAAGAGAAGCTGATGCTTATTTAAGATTTTATAAACGTTTTGGTTATTCAAAACTTTGACCCCTTGTGGGGGAGGTACCAGAAGGAATCGTCCGATATATACCGCCTTTACAACAGATCCTGTGTTGATAAGAATATTCAGAAGTGCGAAGTGTAAATGGAATCGGATGTCTATTTCGCGTTTTATGAGCTTAATGAATATTCAAAATTTCGAGCTTTTGTGGGGGAGGTACCAGAAGGAGTGGACCGATATATTCCATCTTAACACCAGATGGGTTAATAAAATTATTGGGATTTGTGAAATTTGCAGACAATCGGGCTCTTAAATCACATTTTATAAGAGTTGTAATTTTTCAAAATTTTGACCCTTTGTGGGGGAGGTACTTGATAGAGTGGACCAATATTGTCCATTTTCGCACCTGACCTAGCACTGATACAAAAATTCGGATTTGCAAAGTTTGGAGCAAAATCGGAGTATCGTTTCCCTTTATGTGCCGAAAATATATTTTCTGAAAATTTTGACCTTTTGTGGGGGAGGTACCAGAAAGAGTGAACCGATATATTCCATCTTCACACCAGACATTGTGTAAATAAAATCATTGGTATGTGTGAAATTTGAACATAAACGGACTTTTACATCACATTTTATAAGAGTTGTAATTATTCAAAATTTTGACGATTTTTGGGGGAGGTACTTGATAGAGTGGACCGATATTGTCCATTTTCGCACCTGACCTAGCACTGATACAAAAATTCGGATTTGCAAAGTTGGAGCAAAATCGGATAATCGTTTCACTTTCTGTGCAGAAAATATTTTTTCTGAAAATTTCGACCTTTTTATCCATCTCCGAACTTGATCGAGTTTGACTATAAAATTACGATGTACCAAGTTTGGATCAAATCGGATACTCCCTTCGAGAGTTATAGGGTGCACCAGCCAGCCAGATTCCCGATTTCGGGTTAATTATGAACCAAATTGACATTATCAGTCCAAATGATTGAGTTTTGGCACATCCGACCGAATTCAGTCTAGAAGCCAGTACACCAAATTCGGAGAAAATCGGTTCAGATTTAGCTACAGCTCCTAATATCATCCGATTTAGTGTTTAGGTCCCTCATATGCGTCATATGCACTCCACAACAATGATCTTTGCTACCAGATATCAGATACAGCCCAGAAAGAAGTGCCTAAAATTTTTTCAAGACCGGTTTAGATTTCTTTACCCGATTTCTTTTTGTACACTAAATGCCTAATATCAGTCCAAATGACCTGAATTTTGGCACATCCGACCGAATTCAGTCGAGAAGCAAGTTCATAAAATTTGGTGAAAATAGTTTTAGATATAGCTACAGCTCCTATATGTATGTTTCATCCCATTTGGTTTTTAAGTCCCTCATATTCGTAATATGCATTCGACAACAATGATATATGGTACCAGATATCTTATAGAGCTCGCATACCTTTACAAATTTTATCGAGAACGGCTTAGATTTGGATATAGCTCCCATATATATCATTAATCCGATTTCAGGTTTATTGTGCAAATAATGGGTGAATTTCGGGACGTACGTTTTCATTTTGTGGAAATCCAATATATATATTTTAATATAATCAAAGATTAAAATGTCTCCGTCAAATTTAGTGAAAGTCGATTCGTAATTGGATATTCCTCCCATATAATAGTTCCCCGTGTAATCAAACTATAACTGCTCTAAAGCCAAATGTTGATCTACTTCAAAAAAATTCTTTTGTTACGGGAGCTCTACTAAATACGCATAGTGGTGTGGGTTATCATATAGTCGGCTTCTCCCGACATTTGACCTTTCATTACTAGTTTTTTCTTGAAAATTTTTCGAATTTTTGTGGGTAGGTACCAGTAGGTAATGTGTTAAAAAAAAAAATAATAGGATGTGTTAAATTTGATGAAAATCGGACACTGATTTAAAATTCTACGATAGTTATAAGCATCTTCTATATCTATTAAACAGAAACATGTTTGTTTGTTTGTAATCTATGGTCCAGAAAACCGCTGCACAGATTTTCCTGAAAATTTCCAAGTATACTACAACATCGCCTGAAAGTAACAAAGGCTATATCAATTTTTCAAATTGCACTTGGAACTGGAGATATAGCATCAGAATCGCACAAATTTAGATTTTATATGCACACATCTATTGATCCATTACAGATATGGTCTCCAAATTTGTAATGCTTAACGGAATTTGGAAAAAAATAAATTTGCCAAATTATATTGAAATCGGTTCATATTTGGATATATTTCAGCTAATTTCACATATTTGATGCACCAAACACGATACGAAATTCAGCATGAGTAACTAAATTTAGTACAAAAGTAAATTTGTCAAATTATATTCAAATCGGTTCAGATTTGGACATAGCTCCCACATATATTTTCGGCCGATTTAATATATTTAACGCACCAACCACGTTACGTATGTCCGATTCCAATGAAATTCGGCATGAGTGACTAAATTTGGTACAAAAATAAAATTGCTAAATTACATTGAAATCGGTTGAGGTTTGGGTATATCTCCCATATATATTTTTCGGCCGATCATATGTACCAAACACGATATTTATGTCCGATTCCAATGAAATTCAGAAAATTGTTCTCAGTTGTTTATATATTTTCAACATTAAGCGAAAAGTTTAGAAAACCCCAAAATTATATTAATAATTTATGAGTCAGTTTTTCTAAAACAACTAGATATATGTACTGATTCCAACACTCGCGTAGATCTCTTTCTAATTTAAATATTTATTCGCACAAATGTACATATAAATATGCGTATTTTCTTTAATACATTTTATTGAAAATAATTTGACATTACATATTCAGAATTTATGACCGCAAAACTATAAATCACTTGGCGAGTGTGAATTTCTGATGAAAAACAAATGTACGCACCAGAACACAATACTATCAGAACCTATGCTGTACATCTTCATCAGATTGCCGCCCATCATCCTCCCTCCCTACCAACACACACACACTCACACCAACACAGGCATATACATAATGCTCGATTTCAACTCTTTAATGTATGACGTTCTCACATCCATGTCGTCACGGCGGCATGCTGCATATGAGACTGATGAGAAGTACTCGTGTAAGATGTGGCGTCTGGATTGTGATTTTCAGTTGAAAAACATTGTTGCTGTTGCTGTTTTTGTTGTTGTTGTTGCTTATTCATGTCACAAGACATTACATTGCCATTAAAATGACAATTAAATTGCAATAATTATTTAAACGTTTAAAAGTGCCATAGTGTTGATATTGAATTTTTATAGTTCACTAAACGATTGGTGTTGCATACGAAAAGAAAAACGCTGATGTTTTCAAATAAATTGATTACAGACAATTTTGAAATTAAATTTATTTCTGCCGGTATCGAATTCACCTTTGCTCATTACACTTAGATTGGACTTTTCTTTCGCAGTCTTTATGGAGGGCCCGTTCACTTGCATATTGTCTTTAGTGCCTGTCTTATAATTTGTCAAAATCTTTAATAAATTGTTATGGACAAATGAGAAAAAAAAAAAAAATAATAAAATCCAGTACAGAAGATGTCAATTGACTATGTAGCAAAATAATTTCTAGGGCAAATTGATTAGGTATATAAATCCCTAAATATGTAGGCCAGCTCTCATTTCGCTAACGCATTCGTACTGTGTGGGAACATGCCGTACACATAGCATAACACAGTCCAACAATTTTCGGGTCATGGTATGTGGGTGGGAAATTCCAATTAGAGGTTCGAAAATACGATTTTAGTATCCTTTATATAGTCCTAACCATGCACAAAAGGTCTG